TGTTAATTCAAATTCTTTAAATTCTTCATTGATAAAATGTCTAAAAGAAAGTCCCTAAACAAATTTTCTCAACAGTGTCAGTTAATGAATTATAAAGATCTATTTCAAAAAATCAAAAATTTTATCCAATATTGTTTGTTTCCAGGGTATTAAGAGAGTCTTTCACTGTTCCTAATAAAAATATAAAATTTATAAATGGAGAATCCAGTTCTTAATAGTATTTAATATCACTTCTTTGTTACTGAGATATATTTGAATCATGTTTGTTGTCTCTTTTGTCTTCATTTGCTGATTTCGTTCATTGAGCCAGGAAACATACCTCCTCTTGTTTGTTAGTTTTCTATTGGGAGCTCTGGCCTTCAAGTTCTGCGGTTGTTCTTCAGTTCTATTTCCCTACATTAGAAGGCCTACCATTACAGCCTTCTATTAACCATTAGTTTTTAAACTGCCATATTCTACAGCAGTAGTTTCCAATCATGCCTGAAAATTAACATTGCTTATGAAGCTTTTATTAACAACAGAGTCACCAGATGTACCCTTGGTGATTCTGATTCAGAAGTTCAGCATAGACCCAGAAATCCCATATTTTAAAAATTTCCCAGGTAATTCAGAAACAGAGCTCAATTTAGGAACTACCCAGCCCTCAGTTTGAGGGGCAGAAGCTCAGGCAGTAGGAGGAGCAAGGAGGACCCTGATGGGTATGTTCTAAGTTTGCTTGCCCTGCTGTAATTCAAGCAGCTCCACTTTTGTTTGTTTTGTATATCAGAGTCTGGATAAGATGTCACTTGAAGAAAAAGGTTTTGCTGCTTAAATAAAAAGTTTAGGTCAGGTGCAGTGGCTCATGCCTATAATCCTAGCACTTTGGGAGGCCGAGGCAGGAGGATCACTTGAGGTCAGGAGTTTGAGACCAGCAAAAGCAAGAGAAACCCCATCTCTACCAAAAATAGAAAAATTAGCCAGGCATAACGGTGTGCACCTATAGTCCCAGCTACTCGAGAGGCTGAGGCAGGAGGATCACTCAAGTCCAGGAGTTTGAGGTTGCAGTGAGCTATGATGATGCCACTACACATACCCAGGGCAACAGAGTAAGATGCTATGTCAAAAAAAAAAAGTTTAAAAGTCACCACTCTGTTTAAAATCAAATTTTTAAAAATTAACATATATGAAGAAATGTGAAAGCATTCCATTATACTCACATAATATATTAATATAAAGGTTAAAGTCTGCTAGTTCTTAGAATCTTTGTAAGATCAGTAGCGTAGACAATAAATCCTATGATTTATTCATCCTTTTTCAATGTGATTTTTATTCCTCAACAACACTGTAAATCTCAAGATGTAGAACAACATCCTCAAGATGAATCTATTAATAAAGACATCATCACCATGATCTACAAAATGGCATATGAACTGTCTAGTTTCTGAATTCATCACCTACATTGCTTTATTCTTCCCCCTCCTAGGCCTCATTCCAGCCACACTGGCCTTCTTGCTGTTCCTGAAACAACCCAAGTATACTTCTACTCCGGGACTTTGAAACACTCTTCCTACACATATCTACATGGCTCCTGTCCCCCTTCGTTCAGGACTCTATTTAAATGTTTTCTTTTCAGAGTGGACTTCACTGGCCACCCCTCACTCCATCCAAAATAGCATC